TGCTCTATCTGTTTCGGTCAATCTCTTTGTTAGTGAAACGAATTTTGTTGGAAATAAAAGCGGAAATTTATACACACAATTCCCTTTGTTTCTGTATTCGTATTTGAGTTTGAAACACAGAGTATTGCATAGAAAATGTCTTTCATCTCAACTCAAATAATGAATTTTGTGAATGAGTATCAATTCATATTGGATTTAATGCTAATTTCGTACTTTCGTTCTTGTTCTTTCCGCCTTTAAAATCCATTAAAATGGATTTGATCTTTGTCCTTCTCTCTCTCTCTCTCTCTCTCTCCCTTTCTTTCTCTTTCGCCCACACAATGCAATAGTACAGCGTTTATCAAATATTTTGTCGAAAAATTTTCCACCTCCATACTAAGACAGTGTTCAATACATATATACAGATTATTTTTGTGTTTTACACGTCAAAAAGTATTTCCCATGTTGATGTTTACTTTTTAACTGTTGAACTTTTTATTTAAATAGCTATATAGACGAAGATTTATTGCTGATTTTATTTTTGTTAAATTTATATTCTTGTGTTGTTTCTTTGAATCGGTTTTTATCGGTAATACCTTATAACTTGTCATTTCGATTTGATTTGAACCATAAAAATGAATTTGAATAACATTTATTGGTGTTTGAGTTCTTTTCTCATCTTGTTCAATTAAACTCGATTCTTGTTGGTTGTTTTTGATCAATGTTCAAGATTAAAATAGATGCACGTGTTAAACTGTTTATATTTTAATCGGATGAATTTTATACAATTTTTTTTCTTTTTTTGAATTTGAATGTTTTCGTTATTTTGTTTCACTTTCGTAAATGTAATACGATGCATGAGTTTTTCGCAGTAACACATTCGTAGGATGTTTTCATATTTTCCATTTAAATTTCATTTATTGATTTGGCACATTCGATAATTTCGGTTGAACTGAGCATAACATGCATTACAGATATATAGAAAACATTAACATAACAGTTGATCGAACACAAATTTTAAAGTAAAATAATTAAAATGTCAAATATAAGCATTTCCTTATCGAAAAATGGTGGAAAAGTTTTAAATGTACAAATGTCATTTATGTCATTTAGTATAAATGTGATTTATTTCATGGAAACGGATGTGCATAATTTTCGAAATGAGCAAAACCGAAATTAACGAATTTCGAATGCCGATATACGTTCGGAAAAAGTCAAAACAAACCAAAAACCAAAATGTCATTTGATTTTTGTGGATGCAATATTCAATTTTCATGCCACATGGAGCTGTAGTCATGTCACAAATTCACATGAAAATTTACATCTTGTTCGTTATTCTGCTATTTTGTAATCAAATTTCAAAATTTCCTAAATTATTGTTTATGAAATATTACTTGGAATTATCATTAAATTGTTCAAGGAATACGCTTTCCATAAAAAATATCGATAAATATATATATTTTTTCCCAGGACCTCCCATATATGTGATTGTATAAACCACAAATATTTTGTCGATATTTCTATGGAAAATGAATTCGTTGCTATTATATTAGTAAATATACTCTTAGAACTTTTCAAATTTGTCTACCACATAATTAACAAATATGAAGAAAGAAAGAGATTTTTTTTTATATATATATATAATTTTTGTTTGTTTGATGTTTACTGATGCTCATTTTTTTTACTCATCCTGTCACGATCGTCACAAATTTATTCGTACGCCTATTCAATATAAAATATTTGTTTGTTATTTGTGTTAGTTAGAATTTAGATTTTTGGTACTTATATATAGTAAAATGTACACAGTCAATTAAAAAAGAAAATGGTTTTACGAATGTGTTTATTTTCTCTTGTAGATGCTTTGAATTAACTGGATTTATTTATCGAAAATGTTGTGTTTAATTTCATTATTTATATAATTTAAATAACGATTTTACGAATCTTCGTTCATTCATCGTGCATTTTTCTTTGCCGATTGTGGTTTGATTGAATCGGCCCCAAAAGACCAAAAGATCCCAATTGAAAAATGTAAACTTTGAATGCAGGTGCATTGCGATTTGAATTTTGCCAACAATTTTAAAAATTCAACTCAATTTCTTCCATTTGCAATCTAATTGCATTCTGTGCATCAAAGTTCTGGAATTTCGTAAGTTCATTTCAAAAGCGGACGTTTTTCATTAAACCATTTTTCGAATAGTTTCATTGTTGTTGTTTCTGTTTTTTCTATTATCTATTAGATTGACTCAGTGTACATAATACAATACACAGAATAACATGCAATCGCCAAGGAGTCTTTTTCATCCGTTAAATTCTGAATAAACTAATTTCCTTGCTCAAAAGAAACCAACATGAGAATCCATGCGCATTGAGTCATTTCTAATAAATATATATATATATTTACTATATATCATTATAGTATTACGATCATACGATTTCCTTATAATACTGAAATTTACAACTAATCATTTTGTGCTTCGATGAGACACATTAATTACCCTTTTTTTTATTTTCTAGAAAAAAGCTAAACCAGAGTGGTTTTTAGGTATGTTCATTACCTTATTTATATTTATATTGTATATATAATTTGTTTACAATTTTCATTTTTTTTTTATTATTATGTAAATCTAAGTGTTAATCAATTTCCATCTTAAATTACATCTTATTACATGTGATAAGTCATTTATGTTTCAGTTTTTATTATTATTATTATTTTCATTTCATGTTCTATTTGCCGATTTCCATTTCCATGTTTATCTTGTCTAACCACTAATTAACTGGGTAATAATTAAACTTTGCGACATTTCTCAGAAAGCTCTAACAATTGAAAATCACACACATATATATGTACAATTCACATATATATGTATATTCTATTCAAAAGTAAATATACAAAAAAAATCAACGGAGTAAAACCATAGAAAACAGCCATTTTGTAGGAAATAGAACAGTTCAATTCGGTGGATTCAAGTTTCGTCGTATGGCAATTTTTTTTTGTTCGTTTAAAATATCGTCGCAAAAAGTAAAAGACGAATGAAACGAATGCGTTCACATTCGATATAGAATAGTAAAAAAGATAAAATGTAGCTCATTGTCGTCGAAGTGTGAAATCACAACGACTAAATTGTAATTATCATCGTTGCAACTATAAAAGAGTCAACAAAATCTCGATTTTGAATCGCAGTTCGGAGACCAACTTTACAAATTTAGAGTATATAGTGTGCATTTGGAGCTTAATATTTGCATCGACAAATGGGTCGGAAGCATCGTTTTCCCATTTTCAAATCCATACATACATTTGAAAGTTTTTGAGCAATAATTGAAATCCGCACAAACCTCGACAACTTCCACTTACACTTCAAAGCACTCCATATTCACTCTCTGATTTCCCAAAGAACGAAAGAAGAAAACGGAGAAGAAGAAGAAAATAAACGAATTTCATGCACATCACGATGGAAATAATTAATCATTAACTTGAGCTTTAATTCAATGCAACAGAGCATGACATATTATTTTCGGTTCTTTAAAAAGTTTTCGATATCACTACTACAGCATTATACTACATTGAATATATGTTGCTATTTAATATGATTTTTTTTAGAAGAAATCGAATTTTAGAAATTTCAAAATATGTTGTGTGAGTTGGGGGGAGGATGAAAGAAAGAACCAAATAAAGGAATAGAAAATTCTGCCATATGACGAAAATTAACGTAAACCAAATCGAAATATATATATTATATACATGCAGTTTTCTTTTGTCAAATATCAAATCAACGAAAAGGAATGAGAAACTATTGCAAGTTTTGGAAAGAGCAAAGAGTTTTTTTTTTTTTTTTTTGATTTTTGTTTATCTTTGAAGAATGTACTTAGAATGTATTTAAATGAATAAACACTCACATAATTTGTTTTCTGTACAAGGTGTCGATTTTAAATTTCTCATGTGTGTGTATGTTCGGTGTGAATGTTATTTGTAGGTCCCTTTTTTCATATTTAAAAGATATTTTTCGGACTTTGTGCATTGACAGGCTATTCATCATGTTTTTTTATTATTATTATTATAATATTTTTAGTTTATTATTTAATAGTGCTAAGCACATTTACTTGTTTCTTTTATTACATATTAAACGAATGATGTTCAATTATTTTATGTATATGGTAATCGTTAACATTCAAGTTAAGATTGGGAAGCTACATGAAGAACATCAAATAAAATAAAGTTTATTATAGAAAAATAATTGTTCATTCATTTTGGTTGTTTTTGTTTTACTAATTTCACCGCTGCATTTGTTTAATGTCTTATATTTTGATGATATTAATGTTATTTTTTTTTAAAAATAAATCAATTCGTATTGAATAATATATATATAGATTTATTTTTACGCACTTTAACTAGTTCGTTATATACAATGAAATTGTTTGTTTGTTTTTTTGAAATGTTATTAATACATAAGTTCTACTATGTATGTGTAATTTTTTTTCTTTCATCTTATCTATTTATATTCATTAAATGTAAGTATAAACGTAGTTTCATTTGTTGTTGTTTTTCATTAAAGTTTTCAGACGATTTAAGTTAGATGTAATTCATTTTCTCTTATCCTAATCAAAATGGTGATATTTACACGTTACATCATACTTCAACTAAATGTTATTTATTTTAATATAATTTAATATAGATATAACTATATATATATATGCAGAATTTATAAAATTTTCCTAAAAAATATTGAAATTTTGATAAAAGTGTTTCGATTAAAAGTTCCTTTTCATTGAGTTCCTTGCGCTTTTTTTTGCTGTTCACTTTAATTTTAAATGGTTTTTTTTTGACGAAAATTGTTTTTGTTGATTTTTTCCATTAATTTTGTTGATTTTTTTTTGTTTCATTAGCTTCAAGGATACTCTATGTTATTAAATATTCGTAGAATAGAAAAAACATTAAATCGTTTAAAATATATACAACTTTTCAAGCAATGAATGAATATTGGTTTTTTGTTATTATTTGTTTATGTTTACACGATTTCTCTCGTACTGAGCGAATTTTTTCTCTGTGTTTTGTGAGAGTGTCGGTGTTATTTTATTTTCCATTTTGTTTTAGTTTTGTTGCGCAAATATTGTTTGTAGTTAACATATGTAGAACACTTGCGGTATGATTGTATGTTATTGGCATTGGTGCAATTATTATTATTATTAATTAAATTTTTTATTTTTATTTATTTTTTGCATAGACGCAATTGCTGTTGTTATTTTTGTATTTGGTTTTGTTAATATTTTCGCTGAAATGTTCGTGCGTTGTGTTTACTTTTTCGTTAGTTGTTGACTGTTGATTTGTGTGTATGTATGAAACTCGTTTCGAATAGTCTTCTTTGTTTCAGTTGTATATTTAATTCCATTTAGATTATTGTTGTTGTGTTTATTGTTTTTTTGTTTTTGAATTTTCTCATCTCACTTTTTAAAAATAACAAACAAACAAACAATGAAATAAAAGCCCGAATCTAATGTCGTAATGTTTGCTGTATCGGTATTTATACCGTTGTATATGGAAAATATGTTGTGTACCTAACGTCGGAGATATCCATGATAACCGATCGGTGCACCGCCACCCATTGAGCGTTCAGTAGCCTTTTCAATGCTTCTGTAAACGCATCGGTAGCAGCACACATAAGCCAAACATCACTTAAACAATATACGACGAAAAGCGCGCCGGAAATCTTTATTGAATATCGTATAAATTGCCGGATTCAGTGCTGAATTCATGTAGCCTAGCCAAAATGCGATGTCAAACGCTGATTCAGGTATATCACATTGCGTGCACATCGGTGTTAATATATACATTGCGAAGAAAGGTAACCAACATGCTATAAAACTGCCCATAATTAAGCCGAGTATAAGAGTGGCTCGTTTCTCTTTTTTTCGTGCTATTCGTCGTTTTTCTTTTTCGGGATCGCGTTGTTTTTGTATTTTTGGTATGGCCGGTTCGAGTTCCGTTGATTCGACCATATTATGTTTGTGTTGGACTTTGGCATTTTCGGTGTTGCTTTTATGGTGATTTCGTTTACCAAATATCGGTTGACATAATCGAAATTTTAACGGTTTTACCACGGCACATCGGCTAATGACACCCGAATCAGAACTAGACGGATCAAATTCGCTGACCATATCGTTGTCGATGCCCACCGATAGCGCCCGACATCGGTTGAATGTTGGCGATACTTTGAGCTCGTTCGACGGTGACGAGCTACCATTTGTTTTATTATTGGTCGCATTTATGGCGGATGCCTGTCCAACCGTTCCCGTTGACGTTGAAATCTGTAAATTTGTTGAACATACCTTAAGCGTATCTTTTTCGTAATTTTGGTTTTCCATTTCGGCCGCTTCGCTCGTCGACACATCGGAAGCAAAATCACATGTTACTATTGGAATTGGTATTGATTCGGCGCGTGTTTCAATTGTGGCTATTTGTTGTTGATGATGATTGTTATCTTGCGATGTACTTGGCAAACATGGCATTGGATTTGTTTTTGTTGTGAAACTAGTAACCTGCATCGAAAATAAAGAGATTGAATGGGAAAATGAAACATAAATAACAATTCAATGTATGTATTTATTTTGAATGGTGTTATCGGTTAAATTCGAAGTAAATAATAAAATATAAAGGGCAATCAAAACAAATTCAATCGTGTTCAATTAACACTACATACATAATGGCGAATCATTAGTTTCGTATCGGTTTCGTTCAAATCATCAAAGGATAAACGACATAAAACATCCATTTCGACAACATTCAAGCATACCATAAATACATTCGTTTGAGAGAAAAAAAGCGACACCAATACCTACTGGCATTGGCGTCACGCAAAGTGCTTGTGTATTGCAAATACATAACATATCTAAAAGCTTCTGATTAAATAATGTGTTACGATTGGCGCGAAACCAAATCAACAAAGACAGAATGTTCCCATGAATTTTCACAGACAGTTGAGGAGTGAGACAGAAAAACAGAAGAACAGAAAGACAGAGTGCGAGAGAGAAGAAAAAGTTTTTCCTATCTCAATATAATTTATCTTGCAGTAAATTCCACGGAATTTAACTTTTTGTATGGCACTTTCAACTGCGTGCCCTACAAATGCGTTTCGACTTCAATGTAATACTTTATTTTGTGGGGTTCGTAAATCATAAATTAACGCAGACTCGCCGCTCTGCTTCACATGAATACAAACAGTGGTGCATAATGAAATAACATGAGAACGATGGATATTCCACCCGAATGCTCAACGCACTTCATATAAATATTTTCTACAATGAATATTTCTCTGCCTTTAACGATTCCATTCGTTTAGTACTCTTGCACTTCTCTGTCTTCTTTTGTTGGTTGCCTGTGTATGTGCTCGCATTCGGATTCATTATTTGTTTGGACTGTCGCTATTTTCATTTAGTTTATTCATGTTTTTGATTCATTGCGATTTCACTTTAATCATTTCAACGCCCGCATGAACTGCGATCCCCATAAAATCGCATCAAGTTCAACCTTTTCAAAATGACATCGAATGAGAATGGATGGAAAATGCCTGCTTCTTTATTGCATGTGAATACACTATATACGCTGTATAACACACATAGCAATACAAAAATATGCTCGTTTCGCATGCAAAATGATAGCGAAATAGTATATTTGACTGTTTACATGTTTTGTATTTTCTCACTTTTTTTCCTCGTCACCATTGATATTATTCGATGAGGGTAAGTGATCAAAATTATGGATTTTCATCGAAGCTGCTTTTAAACATTTATCGAACAATAAAATTGTTGTCTCTCACTGAATTAAATAATTAATTTATTATTTAAGGTTCAATGTAATAGAAAAGCTGATTTACGTACTTGCTCGTGCTCGTGCTCGTGCTCGTTTATAACGCATGCGAGCGTTTTCATTGCATTATGTATAAAATATATAAATTGTACTTATATTGAGCTTTGTCGCACTGTAACTCTTCCGCTATCAATTTCACTGTATTTTTTTCTTTCTTTTTCACATTTTAAACGTTTGCATTCGCTTTCGCTTCGCCTCATTCATTTGATATTGTTTTTTACACTCGCATTGAATAAACGCGCAAACATAATAGTTATTATTTCCATGCCATAAAATATGAGTATCTCATCGAATCGGAGTAATGGAGATCAAAATACACTTCCATAATACCCAATATATGTAAAACAATGTGGTTCTCAATACACATGCGATGGTGAGCCATCAGCGTGCACCATTTCATACACACATACACACGCATACGGGTGTGAATGCGTAGACGAACAAGAGAATATGAGTTTATATTTTTGCGCCATAATCGTCGAGCAAATTCCATGCAAAAATTATTAAATTGAAATTCTTTTGAAACCAGCGTCGAAAATGTGAAAAATAATAGAATGTATGTAAAACTTCGTGCTTGCAATAGTAGACGCGTGCTATTTTCTTAGTCTGTCCATCGGAATAAAATCGCACGAAGCACAATGACATGGTTCAACTGAGTCTGGGTATACTATCCTATGGAAGTAGATTTGTATTGGGTTCTTTGCTCATATTCACGTTTGGTACGCATAAAAGGGACATAAGCACAGCCGCTTCTCTAATATGAAAATGGATCGAATGTTGGAAACGATAGCATGCAGGGACGAATGGAAAATACAAGACCAACAACAACATCACGGGCGAAAAAGGAGAAAGAGTGTGTGGCATACAGGCAAAACTCCAACTTCGACAAATATCAATGGAAAAAGGCAATGGCGTTCGCATGTAGATTTAATAATAATGATAATAAAATTTATTGATTATCTTTCATGTTTTGTACGGACCGATCTCAATATATATTTCCAGGCAATTTCTTGCTCTGTGAAATTTTCTGCACATTTTATCGGCTTTCTGTTTATCGAACATCGGCAGCATGCTGTCATTCGAGCAAAATTTCATTTCTTTATTGAAAATTATCTCTGTTCTCTTTTTCACTATGCTATCATCGTGTATCATTCATCTTTTGAAATAAAATTAAAAACCAACAAGACGAATGAGAAGAAATGTGTGCGTTTTACAGCGACAAACATACATCGAATATCGAATCGGATCGAAATTATATGGAATTGTGTGTTTGTACAAACGAATGCAAACAATCACACACACACACGAATCAAAATTACAACAACCAATCGAACGACAAAAACGACGAAGACAACGATGACATCTAAGGAAAGGAAGATTGTGGTCACATTTCGAACATCAAGCAACATATCAAGAAAATATCATAAAACTCATAATGAGGCCAAACAAAATACAAGCAAAGACTGTATAAATGTTTGCGAACCCATCAAAATGCAATGTTTGCATTTACGATCGACAGAATTTGTTGTGCGAACCAACGCAAACATTACTGTCCAATAAAATAATACATAATACTCTTTCTTTTTTAAGTTCAATAATAATGAGCGCATGAATAAATTAAATTTCATTTAATTTGTGTCCGTTTCACGTATTTAATTTCAGATATTTTCCGTCTCATTCGTTGAATATTATTTAAATATTCTTATTTTTTTATGTCCGGATCATATCGATGTTGTAATATTTAAACAAAGAGAAATAGAGCCAAATTAGGCCAATACGATAAATTAATTTGGTCGTTGTGCGAAGTGCACATGAGTTAATTGCGATGGGAAACCGAATTCGAAACAAAGTCAAGCACGAAACTCGATATGAAAGTCAATTAATTGGAAATTCAGTACATTTTATGTCGTATCAATTGATTAAATCGCTTATAAATGGCAAATCGATACAATTTAAGATCCAATGAAGATATTCCACGGTATGAGGGGGATAAAAATTATAACAAAACAAGCCAATCCAAGCAAAATTGAGAGCGGCCAAAATCTGCTAGTTTCATTTCTCCCATTTTTTGTATGGCTATTTTTTTTTGTTGCCTGTCGGTTTTATCTTTTCTTCGTCTTGCTCTCATTTTTATACCATCGGAAAATCGACAGCTACGATTAATGAAACATCGTCCACAAAATCGATTGGAATATAAGTAGATATTAAATTACCTGTTCTTGTGTTGATTTTAACGGTTTTTTCTTGATGCCTCTACGTGCACGCGCTTTGGCCGCAAAGTAAATTCGAATATATACAAAAACCATAATACAACTAGGAATGTAAAAAGAACCGAGCGCCGAATATAGGACGTAACCCAAATCATCACTTAACTGTAAAGAAAAGAGCACACAAATCAAACAAAAATATTAGGTTAGTCATTCATTTTCTGAGCGTTTTTCAAATTTAATTCGAAATGAAATTTGATAAAATCGGCAAATATTGATTTGCTAATTATTTATGATTATCAGATATCTAAGTCTAAAATTTCGTTTCGAAGAACTATTGAATGGCCATATCATGATCAAGAGTCAATGCTTTTGAAGTTGGTCGGCATTTTTAAAAACACAACCACTTTTCAATGTGGACCAATTCAAGTACCCATTTGGTTGGAGGGAGTTTAGACCACAGTGAATTCCAAATCTCCAAAACAGTGCATCTTCTCCAAACCTCCCGTTTTGTCTAGATTTCAAAATAAATTCAAAAGTCTCGATGTACCGTCGAATACTACATCAAAATAAGACACTTAGTTGAAGGGATGATTCAACCGATCACAACCAAAGTGCTGATAAAGTAAAAGCGAAAAAAATAAGAAAATGAGCAATGAATAATGTGTTCATAAGCAAAGTTAAACAAAATATCACAACTTCATCAAACACACATACTTTATACATTCATTACATCCTAGGGGCAGAGCAGTACTAGAATAATAATTTTCGTTTAAAGTAATTCTATGTTGTGAGTAGTAATCCATATTAATCCGCAGTAATACACACTTGTGTAAATTCTAACAGCAGTGCAATGACGTTTCATGTGTATGTTGTGTATTACATTTGTTAGGAATAAATCGATCGTCGTATATTGCGGATTGAAACAATTTATTCGATATTTATTAAATTAAATTCGATATTTTCCATTTTTTAACAATAAAATGTCTCATCCGAAATATACTGCGATCGCTTTATGTCTAGCAAATGTCATACACAACGTACACATGAAACGTCATTGCACTGCTGTTAGAATTTACATAAGTGTGTATTACTATGGATTAATATGGATTACTACTCACAACATAGAATTACTTTAAACAAAAATGATTATTCTAGTACTGCTCTGCCCCTAGATTACATCTGTCTTTTGTGGTGGCGCAAAGTGTTAATGAAGAAATGTATAACTGTTAATGAAAGCGTGAAAAATATAAATGCGGTAATCTTCAATGGTCACGGTAAATGGAAAAGAAATAAATGAATAAATGAACAAACAAAATGATATACGAAAGTAGTGAATAGAATTTGAGATAGGAATGCGTATTGTTTGTAAGAAATGTTTCGTTTGCCTGTTTGCCTACCACAATATAACAGATGCGCACAAGAACAACACAACTCAAACAATGATGATCGTAAAGTAATTTTATTATTATCATTATTTTATTCTCATCTTGAATTTAATATAGTTTATCTTAATTTCTGTTATTAAAATATAAAAATAAAATATAACAATATAGCCGTTGCGAAGTATAATCGCAAGAAAAATGGGCCAGCAACGACAAGTCAACGGCATCATGCAGTGTGCGAATGGAGAATGGAGAATGGCGAATGGTAGATTCGCGTGCCGAACATGGCATAACGTTGAAAACCACTTTCTGCCCTTGAAGATTTGCTCCTCTTGAAATGCATTGTTCATTTGACAATGATGCCATCGGAATGCTCGATGTAAATAAGAATTAAGTAAGCCATCTTTTCGCTTTCGTAATTCATTTCTCGTATAATCTTTTATTCTTTATTTTTTTATATATATTCGTCGCACTTTTATGACGATTGTGTGTATGTATAGGGGTTGACATTGTCGTTTTCACTCACCGAAAAATGCGATTTGCATGAATGAGAAAAATGGGATACGACCAAAGCAGGGGGGCAATGAATGAATGAAAGACGCAAATACAGCGAAATGATTTAGTTTTTTTTTTTATGTTATGATCTAGATTGCTACATTTTTTGAAGCAGGTCAACGAGTCTTTTCTGAATGTCGGTTAAAGTGCCTAGTTTATCGCCGCAAGAGTTTATATAAATATGTACATTCAAAAGTGGAGCTTAATCGCTTAATTTAATAGAAATGGTTTTCATTTGAATACTTGTTGGGTTGGTCGCTGGCGAGACTAGCAAACGAACAGACAAAAAATAGTATCCGTAGTTGAAAAATTATTCACAAGTTTCATTTGTTGATCATTTGTATATATTTTATTTTTCCGCATTCTTTGTGTATTTCATTCGTCTTTTGTGTATGTGCTTGTGCGATTGCCTTGGTTGGCCATTTTATCCTGAATATTCATCATTTCTACTGCAATTTCGTTTTTTCGGGGGCAATTCTTTATTATTGTCGTTGTTTCTGTCATTCATTCCACACAGCTAAACAAAATTCTTTCATCATTATGTACATGTATATTGCCTGCTCATAACTGTATACATCTATATATATTACTAGGTGAATGTGAATGTTTAGTGTTTTCATTTATATCACTCTGTCCTTAGCTCTGTTCCCTTTTGTTTCTCTCACATTCTCAAGCTGATGCATACGCACGGCACAATTTCAAATTAAATCATAACAACGAACGAAACGGTAAGAAAAAATTGTTGTTTATTCTGAAAATGTCTATGTTTATTATTATTATGCGTTCGCATTACGTTTGCTTTGTAATATTTCTACATTCGTAAGCGTTGTATTCGGTTTATTGTTGACTTTTTATGTGCATGAAATGTGTTAAAATTGAAAATTTCATTCTGTCGCCTTTTTTTGGCCGGATGACACATAAAAATCGCATCATCAGTAAAGGGAAAGAAAATATAAAACAATTTAAATATTTAAATTGAGTGCAAATGGAAAATATACGCTTCTTTGAATCTTTTCACTTAAAATTTTTCGCCATCTTTTTAAGAATATCAAACGCAAACACAGCGGCAAAAAGTATATTTTAATAAAACGAATGCGGATAAAAACAAGAAACATAATGGAAGTGAACGGAGATGAAAACAACCCATAAAACAGAGCCACATCATACTTCAATTTATATCAAAAATAAAAAAAATTATGAAACAATTGATAGCGCAATGAGAAAAATGCATAAAACTTTGGTTTCTCTGTCACACAACAACAAAAAACCCGTCAGTTGTTCAATTGTTTGTTAACTTTTGGAAAAAATTTCGATTATAGATTGATTGTCACAAAATTGATGGCCAAATATAAAAAAACACACACTCGAATATTGAAAAAATCTGTTTTATATATCTTTTGATACATTGTTTTCCACTAATACTTAAACTATCGTATATTTTTGGGAATTTTAAAATTGAATACTTCTCTCTCTGTGTCTCTCTCTCTCTCTCCGTAATACAACTCGTTTTGATTGTTTGCATTCAAAAGAATGTTGAGCAAATATGAATGAGTAGAGCGAAAAGTGTATTTGTTGACAGAATTATGTCGCCGATGTGATTGCGTTTGTCAGTTTTTGCATGAAATCTATTTTTATCATAAAGTATCCAATATTTATGTTTAAAAATATTTCTCTATCATTGTTTATCCTTTTTCTTTTTTTTTCCATTTTTTTTTTTTAATATTTTGATCAAAAGGAAACACTACTCTTTTGTGTATGTGTTTGGATGTGAAAACACAAAACGTACGTATGGATCTCTCTCATTCTCTCTTATGAAAGTGTTCAGAGGAAAACACTTAAATTTTCGTACGTGACTTTTGCACCCTTCTTATCTGAAAAGGATTTCTTTGAACTTCAAATGAATATCCACTTTTCTTTCATCTCCTCGAAAAGACAGAGAGATAGAGAGAGAGAGAACAAGATAAATGAAAACAATCACAACCAAGCATATAGACATAATGAATCCAAGATACATCAAAAACGTCTATCAAATAATCCAAGAATGAACAGTAAAATGGTCATAATTGGGCCGGTTGTAAATAAATCCGTCAAATTTTTGTTTGTTGTGTAACACTTTCAACAGTATATTTGACACGTTTGTCGAATTAATGTGAAACTTTGGAATTACCCTGAAAGGAAAAATGGGATCAAAAGGGCTGCAAATTAAAACACCTGTTTCACGGTATTTAAACTGGCACTTTCAAGAGTCATAGATTCTCATTACTATAAAGTATAGATTCCATATAAATTGGCATCATTATCATATTGAAAATTCAACAAAAAAAAATCCACTTTGTAAAACGAACGAGAGCACACACAATTTGCAAAAATCGTAACTTTCGATTTTTCATTTCCCTTCGGTGACTAACTAAAAGTTTTGGCCTGAAACATCACAGCGGTTTGTACCAAGATTTTGCCTTAACTGTCACACAACTGGCGCCACGACGGAACTCAGTGTAATCTATACTAAGTTCTAGTGAGCTGCCAACTAGTGACAAGGCTTTTACACGGTCGCAAACAACTAACTAAAATTCATGCAAAATATAGACACATTAAATCAATAGGTTTTTGTCTAAATGAATGTAAATAATACCTTTTATGTGTGTTCATTCATTTATTCATCTATTTTTTTTAGTTTTTTTATAACTGCTTTTAAATAAAATATGCATGACTGTGTACGTGCTGTGCCGATTGCTGCGTAGTCATTTCATTCTAGATAAATAATTGATCATAAATTCTCTAACTTCTACTGTTAACGAATGTCACACTGATTGAAAAATTCGATATGAATGAAATCGTAATGCGAGCGCACATTGAAAAAGTAAAAAAAGCGATCTCAACAATAGCAAAGGGAGAATTGATACTGATATTATAAAATATGCATCCAAATATAGGCGGAAAACTCTCACATCATACGCTTGGAATAATAGAATATTATGGATATGGGATAAGAGCTAATATTGACTGCATCTAGCGAATTGAATAAAATTAAAGATTGGCCGTCCAAAATTGTTCAAAATATTTAATCTATAGTTTTATCGTTGGATCAAATTCCATTTGATCCAATGTTATTCAAATCATATTGGATTATTGTAAAAAGGGAAAATAATGGAGGGAAAACCACGATTGGAGATTTAACCGTATTTTGATATCACGTTGATTCAAAGCGGATTATAATTACTTTTC